CCCTCCTGGCCTCTGTGAGAGGGCAGTGTCCCAAGGGGCTGGGGTGATCTACGCCGAGGTGACCTCCCTGAGGTGCTCTACTCTGAGGTGATCTGCGCTGAGGTGACCTCCCTCCTGGGCTCTGTGGGGGGAGCCCGTCGTCCTGTTTGCGGGAGCAGTCAACGCCGACCCCGGCGGCTGGACCCGGGGGCTGTTTCGCTTCCCGCGTTGGCCTCTAGCGCTTCATTTTGCCCGGGCGTGCAAAAAGGTTAGCGACGGCCAGAGTTAGGCACTTCAGTAGTGACCGACCACCACATGCGTTTCCTGGGGGAAGTGGGATCCAATTTATGGTGAAAACTACTTAAAAAAACAAAAACAAAAACCCAAACAGTCCATTTATAATCGGTACCAGAAGTGTCTTGAAGGCGATCAAAATGATTTTTGCTCGTTTCCTACAGATGGTCTTGTCTTCTAAACAGTAGATCAGAGCCTGGACACCTGACTTGTTAGTTTGGCCCTGCTTCTGACTCCATCTGACCGTTGGATGGGTCATTTTTGTTTACTTCTGTTGCATGTTCCACTATGACCAAAATTAAGTCAATTGGCAACAAAACAAAAAAAAAGTTTGTAAAAGGGTTTCTGGGTACGCGAGTGTATTTTAGTTTAAAAGTGGCATGTCTTTTTCAAATGTAGGCAAAACTGGCTCTTTAGAAAAAAATGTTATGTGCAAAATTTTGGCATGGAATGAGTGTGAACAGTGGAGCTGAAAGCCTCTGGAAAGTAGCGTTTACCGTGGGAATAAGTGTAACGGCCTTAAGTAGAGTCGTATGGTTAAAAAAGATTTCTGAGTAATGCAAATATTTTTTCCTTCACTTTCATCCAGATGAAAGAATTGTGCAATAAAGTTTAGCTTTGTTTTTGTTTGCTTGTATAAAATTTAAAAAATGCTTCTTAAAATGAATGATACATATACATTCTCTATAGGTGAGATTGCACCAATATTTTGAAGAAAATATACATGGAAATGTTTCTGTTTCTATCTGTCTGTCTAGGAGTCAATATATTTATGGGGGGGTGGACAAACTAATATATATATATATATATATATATATATATATAGCTCCCCCCCCATCCTCCATAAGTTGAAAATCAGAGTACATATTTATGGATTTGGCATTGTTTCTCCCAGCAGAGAAAAAGCGCCCAAACACGAGCGCCACACTTCACAACTGTTAATGCATTTCAGATGATTGTCGTGGGTAGCTATGGTTTTGTAAACAAACTACATTTTTGTGTCATCACTGTAACGTGGTTTCTACAGTATTGATCACTTTTACAACAGAAGAGAAGACTTAAAATAACATAGGCATGATTATATTGTTTAAACTAATAAAGACAATTTTGTTCTCTTTGTAATGCAGAAAGATAGTGTTTATTTCAAGTGATTACAAAATACCACCTTAACTGGGCCATTTCCTTAGGCATTTTCCTGAATATGCTTGCCAGATCCATCTTATGTTAGATATATTGTTATCAACCTCAATGTATTGCTTTCTTATGAGTTTTATGGGATCTTGCAGGTTTAGAGAAACTAAGCATGGGAAGTGACCAGAGTCCTTGTATAGTAATGACAGGAAATTGAGCCTATAATTTATTTGTTTTCTGTGGGAAGGTGAAAATACTCCAAAATTGCTATTGGTATGCCATTGTTTTCCAAATACAGTGAATAGTTAGTACTGTGGGTGCAAGAGTCTTTGCTGATAAACATTTTGCCCAGTGTGTAACCTGTGCCTCTACTTCATCTGTATGATTGCCCATATTATTGTATTTTTCCTTAGTTACAGAGGAATCTGTCAGTAACTACATGGGCAGAGGATAACAAATACTAATTAATGTCTAAAAATTGATTCTAGCAGCTTGGTTTCCCCTGCTGTGCTCCAAAACTCTCGAGTGCACTCCTTGTTTCTTTAATTTCATGAAGTATGTGTGCTTTCAGTTGCTGCTTAAACCAAATAGATCTTTACTGTGCCTGCAGCAGTGAGTTCAGGTCTCTTGGCCTCTTAAAAGTCCAGCACTTAAAATCTTTTGGAAGAAGAAAAAAGGGAAGGGGTAGTGAGGCGAATGGCTGGAGACCAGTGTTAATAGCTTTCACCCTTGTGTCTATCCTAGGTTAGGCAGGAACGAGAAAGATTAGATTTAGATCCAAGCTTCAAGTGTGTTCTGATATGGTACTTTGTCCAGAATTGTGTTTTGTAATAAATAAAATACTCTGAGTTATATTATTCCATGACAAATGAGAAATATGTCTTTTTTTTTCTTCTTTTGTTTTGATTCCTAAGACTCCTGGGACCTGCGGATACATGGTGGTAGTTGTACATGACCAATTCCCTTTGATTTCATTGCAAGTTGTTTGCAAACACTGGCTGCATAACCAGATCTCTGGTATTCCAAACTATGTTTAAAAAATTATGTTTGGAGTAATAGCTAACATAAACAGGGAAACTCAATCAAGAAGTGATAGAGGAGCTTGTCCACAGCAGTACAAACCAAGTTGTGTCGTGGCAATTTTTGCTAGTTCAAAGAAACAAGCAGCATAGAAATATCCATAGAAAAATAACACTGCAACTGATAATGGACCAGCTTGTTGTTGTCTTCCAAACAACTATTCAATGCGTGAGCAGAATCATAGGTTGAATCAAGAAAAATGAGTGTACTCATAGTGGAGAGCATACTGAGCCTGAGTAGTGGAATAGAAAGGAATTGAGTCAGGAAATTAAACTTTACTCTGAAAAGTCTATGAAAAAGCTTTACTCTCTGCTATATAAAGAAAGGAAAATGAAAATCCATCTAGTGCAAAAAGAATAAAATCTGATACAAATTTGGAGTCATCTTGCACACAAAAGTAACAGGAAGGATCGTTTCAGGTCAATCCTATTTTTTAGTCTATCACAGGCTTCCTGTTTACCCTTAAGGGAAAGTTAAGCTCTGTGCCTCAGTTTCCCCCAGAAGTGAAATGGGATAACAACTGCCCAGGGGAGTGGCAAAGTTTAATTCAGTAATGCATATAGAGTATTTTGAGACCATGGGGTGGAAAGATTTATTAATGCAAAGTATTATTAAATACATGTAACCCCCAAACAACAGGTAAAACATCTCTTTAATGGTAGGGGCTAGCCCAGAAACTGCTTTTTGCAATATAACGTGCAGTAAGTTTCCATTTTCCATCAAAGATTGCAACAAAAAAGTTACTTCCTCATATTGCTTTTGCTAGTGTATACTTGTGATAATGTTTCCTGTGAGCACATGGCTCTGTAAAGTGTATTAAGTATACCTGCGTCTTCACAGTCTAACAAGAGTGCAAACTGAGGTTTAGCAATCGCTTTACTGGGACATGGGCACTGGACTGTTGGATTTTGTGCAGGGTTTGCAGTACTTCTGCCACGCCTTGCCAAACCCAGAGCAAGGCGGTCTCTAACTCCAGTGTCAGAGCATGATTTGGTGTGCCTTGCATAATAGCATCTCAGCTTGCCACCAGGAGAGAGATCCAGTTTTCTGTTACTCAGTGATGCTGGACTGAATATACAGCATAAAGGGATAGTGTCATACATGCTAGCTTCTCAATCTTAGGCTGCTCCCATTCATTCTCTTTAATATGCAACTCATGATGCCTCTGGCTGCTGTGTTATGGGTCTCCCAAGTTTTTTAATGTAGATTGGATGTTGCCTTTTTATTTGTATATCAGGGATAATAATGCAGGGACATCTGACCTCAACAGGAAAAAGGAAGAAATCGAGTACCAGCAATTTTTTCCAAGCTCGAACAACGCATCGGTGATCTACTGTAACCTGTATGTCACTTCTCAAATGGAGTCTAAAATGTTGTTTGTCTATCTGCAAGTATATTTCAGTTTATTTCTGCAGAACTGATTATTCTAAATACAGTCTGTGTACTGCAGATTTTACTTGGCAGATGGAAAGTACATTGCACTTTTTGTGCAGGGAGTTCTTAAGAATATTTATTTGGTTTGTCCTATAATGTTTCTTTGGCAGTCAAGTCCGTCTTAACTATTAGGTGCCAAATATGCATATGTCTTTGTTCTGAAAGAGTTGTTTTTTTAGCACAAAAGATATGCAGTGATTGTAGATGAGTCCCTTTTCTATAGCAAAGTTCATAGATACTTTGTGTCAAGCCCAAACATTTTTCCTTACAAAAGTTAACAAGTAACTTCTTTCTGTAGCCAGTTGTAGCTCAGCTTCTAGCACATTATATATGTTTTTGCAGCTAGCTTCTATTCAAAAAAATGTTCTTCCTCTTGCTTTGCATACACCCATCCTCTTAGTTTTGCTTGGGATCCACGTTCATATTTCTTTGTTGAAAGTCATGCAGTTAACATTGCAATGATGAAAAAGTAGGGAGTAGTTTAAATGCAAAATGTTCATTTATATATTTAGTTATTAAGTGTGTGATATCAGAATAATCTATCACACTTTTATTGGTGATGTTAAAAAAAGAAAGCTTTAAAGACTACCACAGTTGTCCGGTGTAATCTGCACAAACCAGTCGTACCACCACACCCAGTAGTTTCTGCATCAGACCCATCTCTTTTCTATGACACACGGCAATCTTTTAGAAATATAACTAGTCTGGGCTGAAGGACTTTGACAGAGACTTCAGGTCTTCCAATCATTTTATTTTGCATTTGATTCAGCATTAGGTATCTTGATTTAATTCTTCAGCATCCCTTGTCCAGAGTAGTTGAGTGTGGGATTGCAGAAGAGCAAAAACTGTTCATGTTCTTAAAGAAATATTTCAATCTATTAATAAAAGGTATATATTTTCAAAGAAAAGGTTTCTTTGTAAAACATAAAAAATTGTGTTGGGTAGTTAAGGGTAGAATTCAGTCTGTTCTTGTAGTTAAAACCATTATTTTGAGCAAATTCATTCTTCAGTAGTTGCCAGATTTTTATTTTAGCACTGCATTTCCTCACGTCCAGAAGCTGCTACTGAGTTGTGTATTTAACCTATGCAAAAGACTGGCCATTTAAACACATCAGCTTATACCTCCAATTTACCAAAATTCCAAGTGTGTCAACAAAATAGTGAAAACAAACCAAAAAAATCTGGCTCTGATTTCTCTGGGCCATTACAAAGTCTTTGTGATAAACTCTGAAATAGCCAAATTTGAATATACAAAATTAAGTTTGCAGTAAAAGGCTTGAGGAGCTTACTACAATTTGGTTCTTAATGAAGACAGCTGAACAACTTGGACAACAACGCAGAACTGGGCAAATGAGGGGTAGGAAGTCTGATTACATTCCTACATTTAAAGTTCA